ATTTAATAGTGTTTTTAAATTCTTTGAGAATTAGTGTAAATAAATAGTTTTTGTCTTAGAAATTAATTTTGTTAAACCGACGAATATTACAAGTGGTGTCAGGTGTGGGGTTGAAAAAAGACATTACAATGGCAAAGAAGTTGCACGAATTAAAAGTTGCCGAGTTAAGAAGCGAATTGGAAGAACAGGATGAAGCGACAAGCTGTAACAAAGCGGAACTTCAATAGCGGGTCGCGGAGGCGTTGGAAAAGGATAGACATGATCCTGAAACGTTCCTCTTCGAAGACGAATTATCGCAAATGATGAAAGGTTTAGATAAATTGGAAGAAAATGGTAAAAGTTTGGAAAATAAATTGGAAGAAAACATTAAACGAAGGAACCGGACATTGATTAAATATCTCTCCAAGATAGTGTCTGATCACTAAAGGGGCTGAGACCGCTATTTACCTTTATTTTTAATGGCATACCGTTCATCTGTCCACGAAACGACTGGCCCAACACCTGCCAGTGTCCTTTTTGGAAGGGAGTTACGACTACCTTGTGACCTCCAATTCGGCTGTAAACCAGGAGATGACTTGGCTGGAGAAGATGATGTTACCAAATTCCGAAGAAAGATTAACGGTTAAAGTTTAACGATATGCACAAATATGTAATATGGCTCACAAGGCCTTCTTTAACCTCTCATAATACTGACCATTAAACACATTTACATTCTTAAATCGAATTCGTTACTAGTTTGCGTTAGAGTAATACATACAGGATCGGTGGAAGATAATTTGGGGGTAGGAATTGCAATTCGTAGGAAAGTAGAGCAGAGTGTAGAAAATTATTTACAAAAAGCGATAGGATATATAGTTATGGTTAAATTAAACTAGACGCCAGTAAAAACGGTATTAGTACAGGTCTACATGCCTACATCATCTTACATCTTACAGTGATGAAGACGTAGAAGCGGTTTATGCAAATATAGAAGACGTATTAAGTTCAGTGATAGGGCAGGAAAACCTAATAAAGACTTCAACGCGGTAATAGGTGAAGGTAAAATGGGTGCAATAGCAGGTTCTTTTGGATTAGGCAATAGAAATATAGGGGAGGCAGACAGACAAAATTTTGCGATAAACATAACTTAACTGTCGCGAATACTTTATTCAACCACCAGGTTAGGAGGCGCTATAAGTGGAAGTTAGTTTACATACTTGTTAAGCAAGGATTTAAAAATCAAGTGTAGGAGTTACTCAGGAGCAGATATGGATAACGATCATAACTTGGTAGTTACGAAGACCAATCTTAAATTAAAAATTCTGAAAAAGATGAAAGGTAGGAGACGTCTTGACTTAGAAAAGCTAAAATGCAGAGAAACGCGTGATAGGCTAGGTAAAAGGACAGACGAAATACTAAAGCCGACGGGAGAAGCGATTGACAGGGACATAGAGACAGAATGGAACTGCATTAAAACGAGCCTAAACGCGCAAGACGTTAAATATACTTAAAAATGTAGGGATTAGTTACAAAGATCAAAGAGTGGTACTCAGTTTGTATAAAGAGCAACGGGCAGTTATAGAGATGGGGCTGCAACGTAGAGAAGTAAATATGAGGAGAGAGTCACACAGGGATGCACACTGTCACCGCTCTTTTTAATCTATACATCGAAGACGCGATCAATTAAAGACATTAAAGAATTACTATGAATTTTATGTGCGTAACGCGATAGCAAGTAGTATAACAGGTGCGAAGCTTCTGATCCTGATAATGTTTGCATTAATAATATGCACACCCATTCTAGATGTGTGAGGGTATGGTGACATGTTAGAAAAATTGTGATTCTTGGTAGCCATAGTGAACCCAGACGGTAACTGATGATTGATACTCGACATGGGCGTCTGGGAGCTACATTATAATTTTCTACTTATACTAGATTATAGAAAATCCGTTTCCCAGATGCTAATGTATCTTAAAAAAGTATCAATTGTTTTCATCAATTTCATTATTAATTAAAAAATATTTATGAAGATGATCATGGTCCGGTAATTCATACGTATGTATCATAAAACCTACAAGTTTTTTTATATAACATTGTTTTGAAAAGTAACTACCAAAAAAAGCCCGTATCGGCAGCACGATTAATGGTATACCAGAAAGTAATTTCACACACGATTCATCTGGGAAGATTTTGACG